CTTAATGTTGTAGTTATGGTTCCTGAAAAATGCTACTTTAAGCGAAACGATGTTAAGCAAATCCAATTTCCCCATAAGAATTAATGTAAATAGTGGGGCTTAGGTTCCAAGGAAATTTTTTTAACCAGACAAAAGGCATTATATACATACAGTACAAGTTTTAAATAATTTTAAACAAACAATACTGTACTCACTAATGATGATTGTGAAGCTTGCTTGAGGCAGAGGCATAGTGGGGTTGGGGCACAGGGGCTTGCCCAGCTCTGCCCACCCGGGTCGAGGGCTTGCCTGCTCCCTGGCTGGAATGCCAGGCAGATAGAGTGGGGTAAGCCCCCACGCCCCAACCGGAACACCAGACAGGCAGAATGGGGCAAGCCCCCATGCCCCAACCCCACTCAGTAGCAGTGCTGGGCAGGAAGAGCGTGGCAAGCCCCTGAGCGGAATGCCAGGCAGATAGGCGGTCCAGGGCGAGCCATACAACCTTATAACGGAACATTGCACAACTTTAAATGAGTATGTTCTCTAATAGATCAGCAACCTAGAATGAACAATGTTAACTGGGACGACTAAGTGATGAGTTACTGTATTAAGTTTTGACTCAGCTTCCAGATATGCACATCTAGCCTTAAACTTGTTTAGAACACAGTGGCTCATTTGAGCAACTATGGCCACCCCTTCCCCCGACACACTTACGCATTGATCACTGATGAACAGATGATAAACTTTAAGGTGGTAGGGTTGAGATGTTTTTGGTTTTTTTTTATTAATACTTTGCTCATATAGAAATCTTCATCTAGATTCCGAAGTGTTTTATCAAAGGGGAGACGGAGCATTTGAAAGGCCTTAACGCTGTAAGATATGGCTATATCGGATACCATTTCCTTGATTCCAGTGCTACTGGCTTTCTATGCTCACATACTAGTAGCCTTTTAAGGATCTACTGCTTGATGTTTGAGAATAGTAGATGAACAAACCATTGCTATGATAGGAGCAAGAATGTGATATTCACTCCCTCTACATGTCAGTTGCAATCCATCACTTCTCGCCTTTAAAGGCAGCAATATTTGCTTCTTCTCCTGCCCCACTGTTAGGCTGGCCTGCTCTGATCTCTTACCTTTCTCTTCCCCTCCTTTTCCTGATGATCACTCTTTTAAAATTACAAAGATGATTTGAATTGTTTTCAAATACTGTATTTCATGTTGTATTTGACGTGAAACATTTTTTGTCCCAAAAATACCACAAATTGTAAATGCAAACTAAATGTATTCATTTATGATTGAGATGTTTAACTTGTTGAAAACTTGCTTGTGACAGGCCGCATACATCTGAGAAAATACAAACCAGTTTCTACCCTCCTTATAACACACACTACTTTATATAAAGAAAATACATAAGGTATATGGCAGGTACATTCAGGGACTCTACAAAAGTGGGTATTTTGTACATTTTTTCTAACACATGTAAGAGCTGTACAGAGTGTTTTGTTATATTTCATTTACTTTTTTTGGAGAAAATTCAAATGGTAAATTATGACTAAATATTTTTTAAACATTAACTTATTTGATTTCAGAAACAGAGCTCACATTTTCAGAACATCACAAATTATGTAAGTAGGAGGTACAGTAAAGCAAATTTTCATCAGATTTGATGAGGAAAACTGCTTCTCATTGTGCAAACATTTGAAGCTTAATCTGGCAAACACCTGATTAACTTTACTATGACTCCCATTGAGATCAATGGCACTATATTTGAGATCTTCAGATAAGTACTTTAAATGCATGCACTATTAAACACTTCAGAGTGGTATTATTGAACTGGTTAGTTGTCTGTACTTTAGACCCCTGATTGACAGTTAGAATTCTGTAATACAGACATGGCCCTACTTCAAAAAAGCCAAGCTAATAACATTACTTTGATGCTTTAGAGCCACTAGAAGGCAAGAAAAGGCCAGGTGAAGCTACCTCTCTCCACCATACCAAGAACCCTTTTTCCTTGATTATCTCTCTCACTATGGTCTACTTCCCTAGAAGCAGATCCTACCTCTTCCTTGACTTGGGGAAGGAGCAGGGCTGAAGTGGGAGGAAGAGCAGATGTGCTCTGGCATGTGAAGTGAACAGCTTATGGAGCACATTGACAGGTGGTGCTGGGGCTCTTTTGAGGGAGCTTATTTTGAAGCATGTACAGAACCATGCAGGACTGCATTGCATGATAAAAATACTTATTGCAGTGTACTGAGGATGAGTACATAAGGCAAAAAGTAAGCTACTTTATAGCAAAGATGAGGACTGAAACCCCATAAACTTGGGGAAATATTACATAACTCACTGTTCCTTCACAATGCAGAGATTAAGGTAATCAATTGTTGATCATATAGGTCACTATTAAGTATTGCTATTGCTACTGAGCAATGGTTTCTACCTTCCATTTTAAGTGAGACCGATAGCTGCATTAAACCCCTCCCATGGAGTATTTTCTGTTTCAAGAGCTAGATAACTGTTGGTTCTGTAGAAAATATTTTTTTAGTTGACTAAAGCAGTGGTTCTCAACCTATTTACCACTGTGAGCCACATATGCAGTTGTGTTAAGTGGGCTGCATCCAATATATATACATAAAACACATACAGTAACTCCTCACTTAAAGTCATCCCGGTTAACATTATGTTGCTGATCAATTAGAGAACATGCTCATTTAAAGTTGCACAATGCTCCCTTATAATGTTGTTTGGCAACCACCTGCTTTGTCCACTGCTTGCAGGAAGAGCAGCTGTCAAACATACAGCTAAGGGTAGCATAAAATCCTTCCTTGCCCTGTAAAGGGTTAAGAAGCTCAGATAACCTGGCTGGCACCTGACCAAAAGGACCAATGAGGGGACAGGATACTTTCAAATCTGTGGGGGAAGGTTTTTGTTTTAGTGTGCCTTTGTTCTCTCCCCATCAGCGAGAAGCCAGGGCAGGGGAAATACATCTCTCTAAGCCATATCTGAGATAAGCACCTAATATTACAGAAATAGTAATAGCAAGGAAATATGTTAGATTATCTTCTGTTTTAGCTTGTGAATTTTCCCTGTGCTAAGAGGGAGGTTTATCCCTGTTTTTGTAACTTTAAAGTTTGGCTAGAGGGGAAATCCTCTGTGTTTGGAATCTTTTTGTTACCCTGTAAAGTTATCTTCCATCTGGATTTTACACAGGTGATTCTTTGTTTTTAAAAAAAAAAAAAATCTAACTTTTTTTAAGAACCTGATTAGGACACTGAAAAACAGAGACCCAGGGGGTTTGATCTGTGCTCACTTTGTAACCAATTGGTTAGGCTATTATTCTCAAGCCTCCCCGGGAAAAGGGGTGTAGGGACTTGGAGCCCTACCTCCCCCAAAATATCCCAAGTGGCCCTCCCTGAATGTTTGTTTAAATCACTTGGTGGTAGCAGCGATACTAAGGGCAAGGAAAGAATTTGTGCCTTGGGGACATTTTTAACCTAAGCTGGTAGAAATAAGCTTAGGGGGTCTTTCATGTGGGTCCCCACATCTGTACCCTAGAGTTCAGAGTGGGGAGGGAACCTTGACAGCAGCTCATTGGACCTAGCTGGTGGGGGCTTGGAACCAAGGTGGACTGGCAGCCCCCCCCCCCCCCCCATCAGCTCCCCAGTCCCCTGTGCAGCAGCCGCCCAGCCAGCTATCAATTGCCAGGCAGTTTAGCCATCCATGTGCTGCTCTGGCCCTCTGCCTTGGAGCTGCTCCTGGGAGCCTCCTACTTGCTGTGCAAGGGGGTGCTAATGTCAGGGTGTCCTCCTGCTTCCCACTCCTACCCTCCTTCCCCACCCCCACATCTCCACAGAGCAGGGGGGACATGACAGAGGGAGCTTGCTGGCAGCAGCTGCTGTCTCACCTTGCTGATCTACTTAAAAAGGCAATGTACTTAGAGTAGGGTCAGTGTACTTAAGGGGCAATGCACATCTCACACACTCCACACTCTGTGTCTGTTTCTCGCAGCCATGCTGTCTCCCCTCCCTCCATTTGTGCTGCCTTGTAGAGTGTTAGGCTACATTAACCCTGTGTTAACCCTTGAGAGCTCAGCTGAGTGCTGGATCATTAACAGTAAGGCATTCCCTGAGAAATATCCCACCCTCTTATTTCACCACCTCAATCAAGCTTCACAATCATTGCTGTGTACAGTATTAAATTGTTTAATACTTACTGTATACACACACCTCTACCCTGATATAACAAATTTGGATATAACGCGGTAAAGCAGCACTCCGGGGGGGCGGGGCTGCATGCTCCAGCAGATCAAAGCGAGTTCGATATAACGCGGTTTCACCTATAACATTGTAAGATTTTTTTGGCTCCCGAGGACAGCATTATATCGGGGTAGAGGTGTATAAAATAGTCTTGCCTGGCAAAAAAATTTCCCGGGAAATAAACACACACCCCATTTACATTAATTCTTACAGGGAAATTAGATTCACTTATTTTACTTGAAGTGGCATTTTTCAGGAGTTACTGTAAACACAAAACCAACCAGCTGTATGGCCCTGAGGATGTTACATGAGCCATAGCTGTGTGCTGATTGGGCCCCAGGTTGAGAACCACTGCACTAGAGTTTTTATTTTTAGGCAAAATACAAATCTTATTTTAAAAATTCACCATCACTTATACCTACCACTTAGTTGTCAGATTTAGTTTTTTAGATGTGGGCAATTGGCAAATATTCTAACAAAAGTCAATTACATTTCAGAGTGGTCCCTTGTTAGTAGAATGTACAAACTTTTATTCTGGTTAAGCATTTATATTGCAGTAGTATCCACAACTAATGGGTTGGGCTCTACTGCACTAAGGGTTGTACAAACAAGTTAGTGCCCTGGGGTAGGGACTAATGAGGTTTGACTCATTGACATAATACAATTATGATTTTTTTTTTTTTTTGTTTTCACACTGACCTCAACCATTTCCCCCCCCCCCTTTTAGAAAGGCCAGTACCCCTCCCCCAACATGTGTGTTGAAAAACCCACTAGGTAAATAGCTATGTTTTCCTCTTCCTGGAGAAGAGTGAATACTCTGAACTACTTTTAACACTGGAGAGAAGTGTGTACGCAAGCTGTACCTGGATTCAGGAGTATCTATTAGGATAAGATGCAGGAAGTGATTACAGGTGTCTGGTATCAACACTAGTTCCCATTGGATATTTATCCTATCTTCCTTTCTCCACAGAAATCATTTGTAGATTTCCTCTTCATGCAGCTTAGTCTTTGCCAGAAACGGCAGGGGACAATGGAGTTAAATTAATCCATCCATAACACCATCCATGCAAGATACTCCCCAAATAGCTATTTTGTTGGGAGTTCACTACATGCCAGAACTGCAACTGTAGCCTATACAACTCGCATCACGAAAGACAGCGGGAAAATCCTATGTGAGTGTAGCTTGATGCTGCCAAGCCCTTCTACAGGCAGAACAGAACTGCCATAACTAGATCCTGTATCTTAATAGTCCAGCTGTAGATTTTACAATTCATCCATAAAGGCTTGCCTAGAGAATGGTTAACCTTTAATTCTAGTTTGAGACAAAAGAAGTTCTAAAACCAGTTATACAGTACTTAAGTTTGTATTACACTGAGCAGTTCCATGAGGCATTAACTAAGTATCACTTTATCAAGTGCTTATGCTGTATGTTCATGTTTGCTCAGTGACTGCCAGACTTCTATATCTCCCAGAGTACGATACCTTAATCTGTCCCCCATGCACCATGTTTTAAGAGGCAGAGTGTTTTGGTAGAGTTTAGTTTATTTAAAAAGTACACATTCTCATGTCAAAGCAACAGATACTATTTACACAAGTTAGAAATACATAGTATTTCCATTTTATAGAAGTGACCAAATTCAGTCTGTAATACCTTGTTTAGGTAGTATACAGCTATTTCCATTGCTACATATTACCAGTTAAAACCCATTGTGAACTTTTAAAGCTTCCACAAGACTTATAACTTTTATCTGAGGTAAACTTTGGCAGTATATTCTTCCAACAGTCATTTAGCAATTAAGATAGGAAGTCATGTGCACACTGGCCACTCAAGTTTGCCAAGCTGTTTTCACAGACTTCTAGCTTTCTCTGCAGATGAATCAGTGGCATTCTCCCTAGAATCACATGAGACCTGTGAAGGCAACTCTTCAGAATCACAATCTACATCACCCTCAGAATCACTCTCTTCATCCTCCTGCTCAAATTCCTCCAAGTCTAGATTTTTCAGTGACTCAAGGCCATCAGGTGCCTGCCCAGTTAGTCTCTAAAAGATACAGAAGAGAATTCTTAAGGATGTGTTAAGTTGTGTGTTTCTATAAGGATGCACTTTTATTTCCATAGAAAATATTGATACTAAGTTTAGAGTGCGGAGTCTAAATGGATTCAGTTTTACTGATCAGTCACGTATTAACCTTATCACTTGATGGCTTAGCTATGTGTCTGAGTGATAAAAACCCTGCCTACTAAAAAGCAGAAGGTCTCACCCCAAAAATGCAGTCTACAATTGCAAGTTGCATCTGGCTTGCTGATATTAAGGTCTTCCAGATTTTCCAGGCAGCTGAGGCAAAGTATTTTAACCAAGAGATGAACTTTTTGATAATGTACTGTTTGGGATTAAGTTTATTACTATACCACATTAATATTGTTTCCTTAGTTCCACACAATATATTGCAGTGACAAAAGTAAAGTTTATGATGTCAGCTTTACAAATAGTTTAACAAGCTGCCAAGCCAGAAGCAAAAAGCTCAGTACTGACCTGTTGGTTCTTGGTCCTAGGTCCTAGAGGAGCAGATTGCACAGTTTTGAAGATTTAAGTAACCCAGAACAATTTGTTTAAGTTATTTCTCTTTATCAGACATTATAACAGCCAGCTTTAGAGCATTCAAGAGTCAGCTAACATCTGAAGTTGGGCCCCATTTAGACAAACTTAAGTATTGCATTATGAATAACGGCAACCTTCACTATTCACATCAGTTCAGAGCAAAGCTTTTCCTTTATCCCTCTTACAGTAGTTCTGGGGGTGGTCTTATAATCTTATAGGACAATAAATGTGGAAGGAATAAATCTATGTACAAGAAAGGTTATAACAAGAGTTGAATTATCCAACTGGAGAAGCACCACTGTGCATATACTTCAGTCTCAGGGCTTGTCTATACACAAATTAGACTAGTTAAAAATCAGTGCAAAACCCTGTGCGAGCACCTATCTTGATTTAAACTTGGCTTATCAGTTTAGCTTGTCCCTGTAAGCTTACAAGTACAAGCTATACGGATATACAAATGTCCACATTGGGTCTCCACTGGTAGGACCTCTTTAGTTATGTCAGTGCAAATGTTTAGACCAGGCCTTTGAAAGAATTCATCAAGATTCCTAGGTTGAAGTCCTCAATCTTGATCAGCACAAATACCATTTTTAGGGGTACTTCCAACTTCAGAGTCCCCATCAGATAGAGTCACTGGATAACTCATCTGTCACCCAATTTCATATTGGAAGCACTCCAGCCAAGAGTCTGAAGAAGCTTCAATCACCCACAGTTTACCTTCCAAGAGCCACAGCACCTGGCTGAACAATTACTGTTACAATCTGGCCCTGTCCTTCTGGTCAGGGAGTGTGTTGAAAGCGGACCCAATCCTGGGCCCTGGTATGCTTCTAATCCTCTCTAGGTCTGGGGGGTTGACCCACAGATTCTAGCTAAGGCACACTGGCACAGACCTTGTCTGAGACCCCCTTCTTGGGTTGTGGGTCTGGGGAGTCCAACTACCTTAGTCCATAAAACCAGTGCCTCAAGCTTTCTGAGCCCCTTGTTGCTTCAACAGGCTCCCCTAGAGTTCTACCTTGTTGTAAGTAATTCTGGCTCCTGGTTTAATCCCGTTGGTGACAAAGTGGCAGAAGGCAAGGAACAAGATTTTCAGAAGAATTTAGCCAGTCACTTTATCATTTAGAAAAAAGCCCCAGAGAATTCTGAAAGGCAAGAAGTCCTGGGACACCCCCAGGCTGATCTCATCATTGTGTGTGTGACGTCTTGTCTACCTTTTAGGCAGAGTCCCTTCCTGCCTTCTCTTTGGCCCATTCTGCCTACATGTGGTGGTGGATACCACCCTTCAATGCAGTGTCTTACGCCAGGTATGCGTCCAGGCTGAGAAACTTCATCTCCTTCCTTACAATCAGAAGGGTCATTGTTATATGGATTGGACAAGCTGATAAGACAAAGTTGATTTCCCTAGATTGCTTACATTGTGATTGCTTCTAAGTCACTCACTCACCTAGGTGTCCAGCACTTGCAGCATAGTAAACTGACCTTATGATCAGGTACTTTTTCTATACAGAATACAAAAATGTACTCAAAACAGAAGTCATGATTTGATACCTGTGATGTGACAGTGGAATGTGTAACACTATGGATTAAAACCAGTCATGTGAGTTTACCTCAATCATGTTTGTCATGTACTGCACATGTTGTGCAAGTAATACCAGCTCATCATTTTCTTCTTTTAGACGGGCAATTTCACCATCTTTCTGTTCAATTTCTTTGTGCAGCTAGAAAAAAAAAGATGAAGTTTTATATAGGGACTAGCCAAGAGAAAAAGTGAAAAGGTATTTAACCTGATGCACTACCTTTTCATTTTCCTGAAGCACTTCATACAGTGCCTTCCTCCTCTCTTCAGCCACTTCCTTCCAATACCGAGAGGGAGGATTTTCTGCAGGAAGAGTTTAATATGAAAAAAATCTCTCGTGTATCTCTTATGTAAATAAGCCTGGAATTCAAGCCAATTAAAATAGAGTAAATTTAAATATAAGAGTTCCATATTTCAATATTCTACAACCCATTCTGACCTGCTAAAAACCACCGAAGTGGTTAACAAATGAGCTTTTAGTAACTTGAGACATTTGATTTGGCATCTGGGTCAAATTCAGGGTTATACTAATTTGCTTGACATAAGAACATTTTCTGAAGCCGCTTCAATAAGTGTCACAACATGCACTGTAGAATGGTCCCAACTGCAAGACATATTGAACATAGCCACTTCTGCAATGAGTAGCAGCAGAATAGGCTCGCTAAAAGTAGCAAAGGCTGACCACTTCCAAGACACCAATCACATAGCTTGAACCCAGATATTTTCCTCTCTTCTAGTTTAGAATATTTAAAAAAAACTGGGTCAGGCTTGGTTGGCAAGTGGTAATATGGCCTGAATTGTGACAGCATGCTAAACTAAAGTACAATTCCCAAAGTTGAAATGCTCTTGAGCCTCACATACTGCTGGCCAAGTCACCTTAAGTGACAGTGTCAAACTTTTAAACTTTGCATAGATCTGTGTGAATGATGCTTAAGAGGATGTGATCATTAAAATGATTAAGTGTTGCTACCTAATGTTGGCAAGGGCCAATTTAACAATTCTAAGCCCATTATACCTCTACCCAGATATAATTCTGTACTCGGTAGCCAAAAAAATCTTACCCCATTATAGGTGAAACTGCGTTATATTGAATTTGCTTTGATCCGCCGGAGCGCTCAAGCCCACCTCCCCGGAGCACTGCTTTACCGCGTTATATCCGAATTCGTGTAATATCGGGTCATGTTATATCGGGGTAGAGGTGTACTTGCTTTTAGTAGCATACCAAAATTAAGTAGTAGTATTGAGATATACACATGAAGTTTCCAGCAATGGCACTGTTTGAAGTATATAAGTATTTATATTCTTAAAATAAGAAAACATACTTTTTACCATGAGATCAACAGCTTGAGTGACTTTCAGATTTTCATTTTTCTGTTCTGGGTCCACAACCTCAGCTTTGCAGGTCTTTGCAATTAGCTGATCACTCCAAAGTTTCCTTTTGATTGAACATTTAGCAGGCTGTAATACAATAAGTTTGGTTTTCTGAGATGCTATTTCTCCTTGACATTTTACATGTCTTCATACGCTTGCAAACTCATCTGAACTATACTAACTGCAACAGATGGAGTTTCTCCTTAACTTAATATATGGAGCTATATCTATCTCATAGAACCGGAAGGGACCCTGAAGGGTCATGGAGTCCAGCCCCCTGCCTTCACTAGCAGGACCAATTTTGCCCCAGATCCTTAAGTGGCCCCCTCAAGGATTAAACTCACAACCCTGGGTTTAGCAGGCCAATGCTCAAACCACTGAGCTATCCCTCCCCCAAACTTCTGTACCTATAAGCAACAGGTAATCTGTATTTCAAGTGTGGCACAACTTCTTGCCAACAAGAAAAACTTAACTCACAAAACATTTTCGCAGCCCTCGGACAGCTTTCTTGCACTAGCAGAATAGGTCTGATGACCAAGAATTTCTCCTCAAGTGCTTTCAAAGTATTTGAAATATTTATGCTAGATTTACTATTCAACAAAGCTAAATGATGTAGCTTAAACTGTATAGTAATTGCTTGTTAGTTAATGGACATCATATGCAATTTATGACCTGATTATAGTACTTTAGCCCTTCTACATTAAACATGATAGCATTTAGTTACTGTTACAGATTGTGTTGTAGAGCAGTGGTTCTCAAACTTTTCTACTGGTGACCCCTTTCACATAGCAAGCCTCTGAGTGAGACCTCCCCTTAAATATAAATTAAAAACATGTTTTTAATTTATAACACTATTATAAATGCTAGAGGCAAAGAGGTGTTTGGGGTGGAGGCTGACAGCTCACGACCCCCCATGTAATAGCCTCGTGACCCCTTGAGGGGTCCCAACCCCCAGTTTGAGAACCCCTGTTGTAGAGTTATTACATCTTAGTACTTACTTCATTTACCCTGCCAACAAGGCAACCTGCTGCTGAAGGCTGAATCATTTTAAGAGTCCGTCTTGGGGCTGAGTTTGCACTGTCTGTGAAGTACTTCTTGAAAAGAGAAAGTTTTAATACAAATCAGTTAAACTCCTGGATGGAGTAGGGTAATTTATGAAATTTCTCATGCCACATTAAGGTAATGGATTAAACTTTCAATCCACTTTTCTTTCCTACAGACAGGATTAACAAGCTTTGTTTTAATCTAGTTTAGGGTTTATTATACTACAATTACAATATAGTTTGTATTTATAGCAAAGCTGGATCTTAACTGTTTTATAAAATGCTGAAGACCTGCATAAGCCTTATCTTGGTTAAGACACGGTCTCATTTACACTACAAAGTGGAACTATTTTAAACAGGTCAGGTAGCAGATGTGTTCTAACTGGATTCCCAATTCAGCTATTATAGTGCAAGTGTTCTGTTTAAACTCGCAAATTATACTAGCCATTCACCACAGATGAATGCTTCTGTTCTTTGACAACTGTTTTGAGATATTAGAGTGATACTTTTTTGGGTCAAGGTGATTTCACCAGTTTAAACTGGAAAACATGCACAGGTAATTATGTATGGTTCATTTTTTACTATCTATATGTAAATTGTTCTTAAAGGGCTGTATGCATTTAACAGAAGTTCTGCTTCAACCATTCATCAAGAGGTGTCTAGAATTTCCTTGCTTGGGGCATAACACGCTGATCCAGGAAGGCTATTGTTTTGTGGAACAGAATATTTATCACCTTTCCTTGTCCTATGTCAATACCTATTTCCTGCATTAAAGCTTTTTAAACCATTAGTTACACTGCCACCATGGGACAGTAAACAATGGTAGACAATCAAACAGGGATAGCAAGAACACAATACCATACAAGCGTGAGAAAGTTACTGATTCACACTGTACTTCACATGACAAGAGTTCACCTTTCCCACGGTAAAATTTCTGCCACCAATTATCTTGGTGTTGAACTATGAGGACAAATGCCAACTACTGTGGGAACCAGCATTACAGATACTATTTGCAACTACTGAAGACTATGATTGGTCAATGTTCCCCTGGCAAAATGCAGTTATTACTATGCCAGGTGCTTAAGTTAACCCATTGTTCTTCATATTTGAGATAACCAGTGAAGCATCCACAAAAGTGAGTCAGCCAGACACTAAAATAAGATCATGGCCATATGCTCGCTAAGATGAGCCCAAGAATAAATGTATAGTCATGGACATGTCTGATCATTTTCACTAAAACTGACTTTAAGGGTACAGGATTAGTCTTCACACCCTACAACACTGAGCAATTTTAAAGTTCCTGTAAGTTTCTTTGGGAAGGACAGGGATGACAAGAATACAGATCTTGCACTATGCAGAATGAGGAACATAGGATTAAGTGCCACTCAACATTAGAATACCCACATTACTTCTAGGTGACTTTTACCCCCATGTCTTCCCCCAGACTGAGTCATCCAGGACTTCACCCAGCACACCAAATAAAGTCAAGACTGCTACAGGCTCTTAGGGAAGTCTTATATTTGTTCTGAACTGTCCAGAATTTGGATACTCCATGGATTACACTAATATTGTATTAGGTACATCACTGATCTACTCTTATATTAAGAGTAAAAAGTCTCTAAATAAAACTATTTGTTTTAGATTTGGATTTAAGACTGACTACATACTGGGCAAATTTGAAAAAAGGATTAAAACAATGTTACTGGTAGTAGGGTACTAACAGCACAGCATATTACAATCCCTAATAAAGCCAAGCACAATGTGAAGACAGCCCTTTCCTCTGGGGTGGACATTGACCTTGGAAGGTCATCTGAAATCCCCACTCAGTTTAAAGAGGTCACAAAAATAACCCAGCAACTTCCTATCTTAGGCACCACATTTTGAGTTTTACATGCTCTAGAGTTTCCAATGTAGGGAATTTTTTGAAGATTAGTATTATGGCTGTTCTACTCACAAGTCAGACATTTAATAACTTGGTCCCCCTTGTGCATTTAGCAACAATTTTATATGCACAGCATATTTGAATTAGCTGTGGTATACATCCAAAAATACTACCTGAAGACTAAAGCAATGGTCAAGTGCCCAACTTCATGTGTTAAGTCTTATTCTAATGATTTTTCCCCCAGCATGAAAGTAAGAGCATTGCTTCAGAAAACTGCAAAACAGATTTTTTTTTAAATAAGGATCTTAGTTTAGAGGGATCAAACCTAACTTAAAATGAGTTAATTTCATAATGTAAGTAGTCTCATATGGAACTGATTCTAAAGCCCCCTATTTCTTGTGGTTTATTTTCTTTGCTGTTTAAGACCCATGCCAATAGGGGAAGCCAGCTACAGGGCTGGGAAATGCAGACTTGGAAGAGTTCTCTAATCAGTTATACTATTTTATGTATTATTGCATGATAAAAACCTGTAAAACTAGTATAATTAGCTTTATATTGACTGGGTGGTATAGGGAACTGGCAACGAGATACAAAGCCAGTAGGTCACCAACTCAAGTGTGATCCAGGTTAGTAGCATTTGAAATTTGCCATATACAAACATGTGCCTGGAACTAAGCGCACATACTTAAAAGATCATTGAAGCACTGGGAGAAAACTCAGTGCAGGCCAAGCTGTTTGTAATTCTTTATCCCCAGGATGGCATATTTTCAGTGTCTCTGAACTATGTATCTGCTCTGCAAAAAATAAAACAGAAGGACTGAGTCTCCAGAGCATCAATCTGACATCTTTCATGATAAGAAAGTCACATGATCTCTTTTTAGTTAGCATTATAAGATGGTGTGGATCTAAAGAACTGAGCTACATCTGGAGTGATTACAGATAACAGCGCAAAGTCTGTCATTACAATCTGATCTATTTATTTTTATCTTCATATAACACTTTAAAGACTTAAGTAATGCTAAGTCAGGTTACAAACCTTTATAGTTCCTGAGGCTTTTCCTGCATCCAATTTCTGCTTCATACTGAAATTCATCTGACTACAAAGCTGTGTTTTATACCAAGGGAGACAAAGACACAGAAAAGCAAATTTATTAGTCACAGCAGAAAGCACAAGTCTGCCAGAACAAGCCAGCCATGGGCTCCCACCTTCCCCAGCTCAGCTTCATGAGCCCGTCGCAGCCAACAGTCTCTTGTAATGGGCAAAACGGTACGTGCCACTGGCACGTTTAAGCAGCCTGCTGCCCCCCTTCCGCCCGTTCACACCACGGAGGGGCTCCTCGGGGCAGGCGCACGGACCCTGCCCCGCAACCCCGCGTGTGAGACGGACCGCGGAGGCTGTTGTGCGGGGACCGCAGCCCCCGAGCGCTCCGAGCCCGGAGGACCCGCCCGCTGCTCGTCTCCAAAACCGGGCCGCGGGCTCCAGGGCAGGAGCCAGACAAGAGCCCTTGGACATGCGGCGCCCCCGCCGAGGCTCCGCAAGCCGCCAGGCGCAAGCAGCGGAAAGCCCCGTAGGACACCCCCCGCCTCCGCGGGACCGCGACCCACCTGCCGCCCCCCTGTGGCAGGGTTACGTCCCCGGCCAGGCCCCCGAGGACAGGGGCTGACGTGCCCTTTGGCCTCTTGCGCCGGCTTCAGCCGCTCCATCCCAGCGCGCCCCAACCCCAACCACCAGGCCAGCCCCGCCGCAGGGCGCGAGCCCGCGCCAACCGCCAACCCCGCGAGACCGCCCGGAAAACGCCGAGCCCCCTCCCCAAACCTGGCGAGAGAAACCCGCCAAAACCCGAACACTCAGCCAGTCCCGCAGCAGAGCGCGAGCCGCTCCACCCCCAATCGCGCGAGACCGCCCGGAAGACGCTGAGCCGCCACCGCCCAGCAGGGGACCCAGAGCCCCCAGACTCACCCGACTCCTCTCCCGCGCGTGCTTCACCCTGCAGCCGTCCTGCTGCGCGCTGCCAGGAAGCACCACAGAGCGGTCAATAACTCTGCGCGCGGGCCTATAAATAGCCACCGACTCCGGTCACGTGCCCTCTCGTGCCCAGCTTTCCTCCCGTGAAGCCCCGCGCGGCGCAGGGGGTGGGGTCAGTGAAACCGTCCTCCCGTCGCCTCCCCACCCCCCAATCCCAAATCGTATCCTGTTCCTCCTTCCCCGCCTATCCCGGCCCAGCAGGCCCTGCGCGTCAGTGCTACGCCCCGCCCGCGGGAGGAGGGGGCGGAGCGCTGTTGGGGGGCGGGGCAGTGGACGGGAGAAGGGGGAGTGTTGCCAACTTTCTACTGGCACAAAACCTGAACACCCTGGTCCTGTCCCTCTTCTGAGGCCCCGCCCCCTCTCACTCCATCCCCCTCCCTCTCGCTCACTCTCCCCACCCTCACTCACTTGCTCATTTTCAGGGAGCTGACTTAGGGGGCTGGGATGGGGGCAGGGGTGAAAGTAACTTAAATTGCTTACCCGTAGGCACGGCTGCCAGGCCTTTGGGCAAGGGGGGGGCTTAGCTCTGGGCCCCCAGAAGAGGCAGGGCCCATGGGACTGGAACAATTTTTAGGGTGGGGGTCCTGAGCTGCCCCTCCCCCCCTTGCCCCTAGCTGCGCCCCTCACCACCCCAGGCTGGGACCACAGCTGGGGCAGCTTCGGAGCCTCCCTGCTGGTGGCAACAGAGCCCCAGGTGGCAGCGGGGGCCAGGGTAGGTCGGGGGCGAATGGGGCTTCTTCTCCAAGGGGCAGGTATTACATTATTGCCAGTTTCGGGCGATCAACAACCATAAGCCAGCCCTCCTCCCTGCCCGCCGCCACCACAATCACAGGTTGTTGTTTTTATCTGTCCTTTGACTTTTGCACTCCCAGATCCCATTGTGTGTATTTATTTCCCTTTTTTACATAGGAATTAGATACAGTGCTCCTGTCAGCTAATTTCTAAACGTTATTAGCTGCAAAAAAAACCTAGCGTTTCCAGGTGCCTAAGTAGCCCCTGGCTGGAATAACGGTTAAAGTTGCCCCCCACCAAAATCTCGGTGTGTGTGTGTGAGAGAGAGAGAGAGAGAATTTGTGTTACCCACTCTCCCAAATGTGTTCAGTAAGGTCATTTTGATCACCTGCGGCTAGAGCTCTTAACCCCCTCTGCTCGTGTCATACCCAGCAATGACTCCTGTCCTCCCAATCCATTCTCCCCTCTCATTAGTTCCATCCACTTACAGGCTGATTAACCTTTTGTGGGCTCAGCGCCAAACATATTTGCGGGCCCCCGGGGGTGCAATGGGCCATACTGGGGGGGTCGGTTTCCAGAGCGAGAGTCCAGCAGTGGGCAGTGGGGCATGGTGCCCCGCTCTGCCCAGCAAAGTGCGAGAGCACTGTTTACAAACCGGCAGCCACGAGATGCACACTGGCCAGCCTGACCTTGCCCTTTGGGGGCAGGCCCACGCTATGTGCCATGATGCCCCCTTGCCCCACTCCAGTCCTCTATGCCCAGCGCTCCCCCCGCCCAGAGACCCCACCACCACAACTGCACAGCGCCCTGCACACCACCACCCCCTGCCCAGCGTGCCCACAGGGTCCCAGACAGAACCTCCACTGCCCAGCACCCCTTATACTCCCAGCACCACAACTGCACAGTGCCCCACAAAGACCCCCACCACTACCCAGCACCCCAGCTCACAAAGACTTCCCCCATCCCTCCCCTGCCAGCATCCCCCCACAGACCCTTCACTGCCCAGCACCCCAAAACAAACAAACCTCCCCTACCCTTCACTGACCAGCACCCCCCCAAAACCATCCAGAGACCCACTCCCCCATGCCCTGCCTCACACACCACACTCATCGGCCCCACTAGGATGTGACTGTGTCTGCCAGACCAAGCCGGCAGAGTGTCCTGGGTGAGTTGGGCAGTGCTCCGGCCCATTGGGAGCAGCAGCACGACCAGCCAGGAGTTCCAATTGCCTGGCGGGGCAGAGGGCATGCTGCCCGCAACCCCACTGGCTGAGACCAGCCCGGCCTCTGCAGCGATACCAGGCAGCTTCACCCAGGGAGGCGAGTGAGGCCCCACAGGTGGCAGGCAATAGCTGGAGCTGTGCTGGGGAGCGGGGCAGACCCCTAAGATGCGACCCCCTGAGAGCCCGTCCGGCCCAGCCACACCCACAGGCCCCGCAGCCAGCAGTCCTGCCCAGCCCGCATGGCAGAGCTCGGCTGCTGGGCACACAGCAAGGCCCAGGAGCTAGACTCCCCCGGGCGAGGGGCCAGACCTGGCCATGTGGATGGGTTAGATGGGTACGTAATGGGCCCCTTCCCAGTGTGGACCTGGCACCATTAGCACCATTGTAAACCCAGTACTGCCCACCTAATTACCCATCAAAGCCCAGTTTAGTGCCCTTAGCCTCACCTGTGCTCCTCCTGGGGTTTGTGAGTCCCGGCGCGCCTTCAGCAGTGCGGGACTGAAGTCCCAAGTCCCAGTGGGGTTGAAGCCCCGAGTCCCAGCATGCCTCCCGCTTGCGTCGGGACTCAAGGCTTGAACCCTTTGGGGGAGGCTTCAGTCCTGGCACGCCTCCCGCAGAGCTGAAGCCCTGATTCCAGGTGGGCCTGAAGCCCTGAGTCCCATGAACATAAGAATGGCCCTACTGGGTCAGACCAAAGGTCCATCTAGCTCAGTATCCTGTCTTCCGACAGTGGTCAGTGCCAGGTGCCCCAGAGGGAATGAACAGAACAGGTAATCATCAAGTGATCCATCCCCTGTCGCTGATTCCCAGCTTCTGGCATGAGTCCCGGGGCACCTCCGGCAGGGCTGAAGCTCCGAGTCCTGGCGCACCTTCTGCTCGCACCAGGATTCGAGGCTTTAGCACTGCCTAAGGCGTGCCGGAACTTAAGGCTTCAGACCCATGGGGGGCTTCAGTCCTGGTGCGCCTCCTGTGGGGCTGAAGCCCCAATTCCAGGTGGGGCTGAAGCCCCAAGTCCTGGTATGAGTCTCAGCGGGACTGAAGCCACGAGTCCCAGCGCACCTCCAGCGGGGCTGAACCCTGAGTCCCGGTGCAAGTGGGAGGCGCACCGCAACTCATGGTTTCATCCCCACTGGAGGCGCGCTGGGTCTCGTGGCTTCAGCCCTGCTGTGGGGGCATCAATCAGTCCCTGCGTGCCTCCCGTGGGGCTGAAGCTACAAGTTCCAGCATGCCCCACGGTCCGTTGAGAAGCCTCTGGGGGTCCGGATGGACTGCAGGCTTCCTATTGACTACCCCTGGGCAACACCAACCCCCGAGCCCTCTGAGTGTCTGCCTGCAGTGTCCTGCTCCTCATCCACTGGACACTCACAGAATTCCCAGGTCCTCTACTCCCAAAGGATCAGTTCACCACAGGTTACCTGTTATGCTGTAGAACACAGCTTCACTTAACACCAAGCACTTAGATTTGTTTGTAGGGAAACCAAGAATATGTCTATTCAATAAAGAATAGATTCAAATGATAGCAAGCACAAATGTTGGAAACAAAGGGTTACATATAAAATAAAATCATAACATGCTTTCTAGAGCCTTACCTTAACTAACAAGACATTGTCATCTATGGAGAAACAGCTCAACCAAAATCCTTCCAGGCTTGGCTGTGATGATATACTTCACAGTGAACACCTGTTTACAGTCTGAGTAAAATGCTAATCAAGTGATTGAAAAGTCACACTTTCTGGAGCCAGGCTAGGCTGTGATCTTCCACTCAAGAGACAAATCAGGCTGTCCTCTTGCCTTCCAGTGTAAAGATGCAGAGGGTCTGTCCCTACAAGTATAGTCCAAAAACCATCATCTTCACTTGCAAACATGATAATCCCTGTTGCTTGTGTTTTCCTTTCTGGAATGTCTCCTGGAGACTTTGCAATTACTTGATTAGCACTTTACTCAGACTGTAAATAGGCATTCATTGTGAAGTATACAATACTCAAGTTACATGTAGCCAGACAGATAAATAAACATCTTTTGCCTGAAAGAAACCAGCGCCTCACATTTTTGGTGACCAGCCCCAAATCCCCAGATTTTAAGAACATAATTTTCAGCATATATACATAACTCCTTACATATAATTCATGCATGCAATTCACAATGATTATGAGGACCAGTGTGACACAGCCTTTCCGTAGAGACCTTACGTGGTACTCTTTGGTGAACTAGTATGTAGATACCAGATCCAGGGGATCCCTGTAATCCTTATGCACCCTTCTGCCCTTTGCCAGTCGGCACCAGGAGGTCCCTGGGTCACAGTAACCTTCTTCCCTTCTTCTAATTATTAGTAAATTCCTCTTTCTTCTCCTCCTGAAGTATTGTCCTGTGTTTTGTCTTGTGTTAGACTTGTCTTATTTGGATCCACTAGGGTAGGTCTACACTGGCAGAGATACAGCACTGGCAGTTACAGCGCTGCTCAGAGAGCACTGAAGGAAAACCGCTGTTCTGTGTTCACACTGTCAGCTGCCTGTGCAATATCATGTTCACACTTGCGGCACTTGCAGTGGTATTCGGAGCGGTGCACTCTGGGCAGCTATCCCACAGAGTATCTCTTCCTCTTCTGCTGCTAAGAGTTGTGGGAAGGCAGGGGGGGTCATGGGGGATCCTGGGTCCTGTCCCAATGACCCGTGATGCATTGCTTCACATCCCAGCAATCTCTGTGCTTCCATCTCCATTTGGGGCCATCTTTCAATTGTTTGTGTACTGCGTGCTCTGCTCTGCCTCTTTTGTCTGCAGGAATGGATCCCGCACTGTTGACCAATATGCTGCTCGCTCTGACTAACACGTCACAAGTAGCAGTAGAGTTATTCCTTAAACTATAAAGGCAAGAGGAGTTGTTCGACTTTGATCTCACCAGGCATAATAGCTACGATACGAGATTGTTTGTGGCATCCACAGAGGTGCTGACCACAGTGGAACGCTGCTTTTGAGCTTGGGAAACAAGCACTGAGTGGTGGGATCACATTGTCATGTACGTCTGGGATGACGAGCAGTGGCTGCAGAACTTTCGGGTGAGGAAAGCCACATTCATGGGACTCTGTGATGAGCTCTCCCCAGCCCTGCAG